CCCCCACCCCCGGCCCATCTGCGCTCACCAGCACCACGGCGTGGTAGGCGTCCCGCAGCTCCTGCACGGTCACATCCCTGCCCACCACCACGTTGCCGTGGAAGGCACAGCGGTCAGAGTGGGCCGTCCGGGTAAAAGTGTTGATGACATTCTGCCAGGGCCCAGAGTGGGAGGGGTTAGAGGGTGGGGCAGCTCCAGGGCCCGTGGCTGTGCCACCCTCACCCCACAATGTCCGGGGTGGCATCCCCCCAGAGGGCCTGGGGTCATTCCATGCAGTCAGGGAGCCTCCCTTCCCTCCTCACCTGGACCAAAGTCTCCAAAGCCCTGCTCCGAGCCCAGAGAGACCCACCTTCACCTCGGGGTGGTCGGGCGCCACGCCAAAGCGCACCAGGCCGAAGGGCACCAGCTGCTTCTCGTAGATGTCCACGTGGGCCTGAGAGTGGTGCTGGGGGAGAAGGCAATGGCTGGTGGGGCCAAGGGGGGTCCCTGTGGGTCCTGCCCTTCCCAGGACAAAGCAGGAGAGCCCAGCTCAGTGGGCTAACAAGGTGGCCTTGACCCTCTGCAAGGAGAGAGAAAGGCCCACGACTCCCCATCTGCCTAGAGAGCCTGGCTAGAGGAGTGGGCAGCACAGCGCCAGGGCAGCCGAGGCCAGACTTCAAGGACTGCCAGCCCACTGACATGGCGAGAACTCTGGCCAGCCAAGGAAGATGGCAGCTTTCCCTCCACTGGAGTTGTATCAGAGGAGCTTCTTTGTCTACTTGGGTCAGACGTGACACACAGCCCTGCCCTAGAACCCACGGACACTTCTAGAAATGCCCAGCTCATAGATGACCTGAGAACCACCCTTGGAAACTCATACCTGCTTTAGCTCTAGCCTCCAAGACCATCCTGTTGGAAAGCTGACCAGCAGGACAGTGACTTAGAGGCACAGCTGGGACATGAGGGGAGCAGAGGGGATGGAAGTGGCCCTACTCCTAGTCTTAGAAAAAACAATCTCACTCGTATGTCGGTTCCACATTGCCTGCCCCCCACCCCGGGGCACTCAGAGGGGCCGTGGGGAAGGCTCAGGTTTGGGGGTCGGGCAGACAAGTGTGGTGTAGCTCTGCCACCAAACAGCCGCATGGCCCCGGCAAGTCCCAGCATCCACCTGGGTCTCAGTCTCTTCCTCTGTAAACCGGGACAGATGACACGCCCCTCTCAGGGTTGTTGGGAAACGTCCCGGAGGCGAGGATGGTGAGACTCTGGGCCACAAGCAGATTCAGGGTCAAGCAGTTGGGGCTCCCGTGGATGACACTACCCTGCCTCGTGCCCGATCAGGCTGTTGCACGATTCCACACTCCCGATTCAGTGGGACTTGAGGCAAATGAGCTCCCGCCCTCCAGCAGCCCTCAGCCCAACAAAGCCTCCCACTCAGCTCCTTGCCTTTGTCCACATCCGACTGCCTGCACCCAAGTCCCGGCCCCCCACGCGCCCATCGTGCCTCCCGACTCTCCCCATCCCCCTCAAGCGCCGCTGACGTCGCTGTGCCCTTGAAGAGCTGCAGCTTTGGAGTCAACAGCCGCGGGGGCCAGCCCAGCCCCACTGCTATCTGACTCTGTGCCGCTGGAATGTTCCTTACCGGACCACAGAACATTCCTTCTGGCGTGGGGTTCTGGATGAAATGAGCAAAGCCTACACCCTTAGCCCAGGGAGTGTGGGTGTTCAATCAAAATCCATCATTACCGTCACTGTGGTTTTCGTGGTAGTTGTATGTCACCACCTTGCTCACAAACCTTCCCTGGCTGTCCTGCCGTGGGACAAAGTTCAAACTGCTGAGCCTGGAGGTCAATACCGGACACTATCCGCCTTTCCATCTTATCTTCCCTTCTTTCCAGCTGTGGAGCCTTCCCTCCAGCTCACAGGGCTCTCTCCAAGGCCACCTCCCTAAGGCTCAACCCGCTGGACCTATTTACTGGTTCTCTCACAGGACTGGCCTCATCTTCCAGGATGCCCCTCCCCCCCAGCTCTCACAGGTCCCTCCAATCCCTCTGGCTGTTCTCTTCCAGGCCCCTTTTCCTCTGTCCCCCCTCTAACAAGAATATTCTCTGAGGTTCTTCCAATCTGAGACACCCCCCTTCCCTTGCCCCAGCACACATTCCCTGGGGAATTGTCATCCGCTCCCTCCTGTGACCTCAAATTCCCGTGGACTTATTGATGACATTCTACTCTCTCTCTTCTGCCCAGACCTCCCACCAAGCCTGAGACCCCTGAACAGCTCACCCCTGACACCTCACACCCATTGGGATAAAAGTCAGTCCTCCCCTCCCCCAAACCTCTCCCTCTCTGCTCCGGGGTCAGAAGCTGGGGCTCCTCCCTGACTCCCCTCTACCCTGTCCAATCAGACCCCCATCCTCCCCACTGTTCTTTAGGCCACGAGCCCTGCCTCTCGCTCTGCAGGCAGAGAGAGGGCTCCAGATCAAAAACGGGGTGCTTTCAGTCCCTTGCCTAAAACCCTTCACTGAAGCCAACCACCTATAGCAGCAGGCAGGGCTTTGTTTTCAAATGTTGATTCCTGGGCCCCAGACACAGTTTGATTAGGTGGGAACTAGGCCCAGAAATGTGTATTTTCACAAGTCCCCCAGGGGTCTCTGATGGAGGGAAGGGGGTGGACAGCACCAAGAGAAACTGCCTGAGTCCAAGCTGGTCAGTGGCTTCCCAGCCACAAGGATCTGGGCCCACCTACCTCCTCCGGCCTCTGCTCTCACCCCTCCACCCTCACTGCACCCGCCCACCTTCCTGAACTCAACGGTCCCCAAACCCGCATTCTCTTCCCTCTGGGTCTTTGTCACACGGTTCTCTGTGCCTGGGGCCCTCTGGCCTCTTACCCATCCCCCTGCCCCACCGGGCTGCTCCTTCTGTCCTTGAGACAGCAATCTGGACGTCACCTCCTCCAGGCTGGGTCGGGTACGTCTCCTGTACACGCCCCCCACCCCCCCACATCAGAGCCCTAGAATATGGCATAAACCCTCTTCCCACCACTCCACAACCTCCCACAGTAGACTGTCAGGTCCTTGAGCATGGGGACCATGTCTGTCCTGCTCACACCCATGTTCCCAGTGCCAAGCTGTGCCTGGATCATGTCAGTGTCTAGTGGTTGATTACTGAATGGCCCAGCGTGGAGCTTAAGAGCGGGCTCTGCCATCGGAGTGCCCACGCTCAGAACCCAGGCCTTCCCTGCTCAGAGGTGGGGCCTTGGGCAGCCTCGCTCAGTTCTCACCTGTGAAGCAAGAGTCATGCCACCTGCTTCGCAACTTGTCTTGGGGATGCGATGAGATGCTGTACAGACAGTGCATGACTCGGCTAAGTGCCACTGTCCCAAATGTGCTGCGCGTGTTCCTGCCGCGGGGGCACAGCCAGTCGCCTGGAGCTCCCAGTGGGCCAGGACCAGCTTGTAACTGGCCTCGGTGCCCATCCCCCAGCACCTCCCCCAGGGAAAGTATGTGCAGGCCAGAGCCTTTGTTCACACTGGGGACACCGAGAATCCTGCCTGGGAGGCCTACGCTCCTCCCTCTCCAAACTTCAGGTTCAGCTCGCACAGTGCCCCTTACACAGAGCCCTCCAGGACCTCCCCAGCCCCTGGGAGATCCCTGGTGTCCCTGCCAGCGCCCGTGCGGGAGGCCCTCTCCAGAGCCTGAGACCTCCTTCAACTCACTTCTCCAGGAAGCACTTTCTGACTGACCCCACCCAACTGGGCTCATGCTGGTCACTGCATCGTAATTAGCTCTTTCCCCTGTGCTGCTTGGAAGCCGTGCTTAGGTCACTTTTTGGTAGGGTGACCGACTCATCCTGGCCTCCCCAAGACCCTCCCAGTTTTACACTGAAAGCCTTACATCCTGGGCAAACTGAGCAGGTTCATCACCCTACTTTTTAAGTATTAATATCTGCATATGTGTGTGTGTGTGTGTGTGTGTGTGTGCGCATGTAATTAATATATTCATCCTTTCTCCTCTCTCTCCACAGCAAGGTCATTGTCCTATGTCTCAGTCAGCCTAGGTCTCCCGCACCCCTCCCCCACCCCACCCCACCCCCACCAACTCACGCCAACCCATGATTCTCCCTCCCTCCTCCCTCCCACCAAGGTCTGCCGAGGTTTCAAGGGTAACCAGCAACCTTGGGGCCCTGCCCGCCAAGGCTAATACTATAAACCTTGAGACCCCGGCCATGGGGTGGGGGGAGGGCGTGGAATGGAGGGTGGAGAGCATGCTGGAAGACCAGCATGGCATGGGGAGGGCTGGAGCTATTGGCGAGGAGACTGCAGTGAGGGGCCTAAAGTTACAGAAATCCCTGAGAAGGAGTGGCCTCAAGATGCAGGATGTTCGGGACAGAGTGGAGACAGAGGAGAAAGAAGGGAAGATGAGGGGCAGGCCAAAGTCATCACGCAGGTCTGCATAAGCTCCCTGGAGTACTTGGCCAAGAAGGCATAGCCGACCATCTGCCACAGACCCCTGACCATCACCCATGAGGCAAACACACTTCTCTTCTAGCTGAGGACCTAGAGTGGGGAGCCCCAGGTGACAAAGCATGCAGGAAATGTCCCGTCTAGATGGGCTGGGAGCCCCTTCCCCTTCAGGGATCCAGGAGTGCTTTTAAAACCCAAAGGAGTGGAGCTTGCCCTTAGGATTGAAGCAGCAGGTGAATCATGGGAAAAGGAACCAGGAGGAAGCGGCTTACCTTTAGCAGGTGTTGGGCGGTGTAAAAGCCAGCTGGGCCACTGCCCACCACACAGATCTGGGGGGTCTGCTCCTGTGTGGAGAACTGCTGGCGGAAGCCTAGGGCAGGGGGGACCGGGGAGGAAGGTCAGTTCAAGACCCCCTCCCCGGGACTTCCCTGGTGGTACAATGGTTAAGAATCCGCCTGCCACTGCAGGGGACACGGGTTCGAGCCCTGGTCTGGGAAGATCCCACATGCTGCAGAGCAACTAAGCCTGTGCGCCACAACTACTGAGCCTGCGCTCTACAGCCCACGAGCCACAACTACTGATACCCACGGGCCACAGCTACTGAAGCCTGTGCGCCTAGAGCCCGTGCTCCGCAACAAGAGAAGCCCCAGCAATGAGAAGCCCGCGCACCGCAGTGAAGAGTAGCCCCCACTAGCCGCGACTTAGAGAAAGCCTGCACTCAGCAACGAAGACCCAACGCAGCCAAAAATAAATAAAATAAAATAAAATAAAATAAATTTTAAAAATTTAAAAAAAAGACTCCCTCCCCATCCCAAACCCCAACTTCAGTGTCCAACAGAAAACGGGGGTTCCCAGGCTTCACCCTCATCTATGCACTCCTTCTCTTTTTCCTCAAAGCTTTGGCGTTTGCAGGGTCCCTTACTTCATCTGAATTCCCAAAGGCTGTGTCTCCATCCAGAGCCCTCATCTCACCCATGAACTTACTATGCCGCTGAAGATGGCCTACTCGACAATCCCCATCACCCCTGAAGCTTCCTTGCTCAGCACTTCTTAATTTTTCTCACCGGGCTCCCAACCCACCCAGCTAGAATACCACATCCTTCCAACAGACCCCCTATCGCCCCTGTGGATCTCCCCACAAGGCCCCATTTTACCTCTTCTTACCTCTCTCTCCACAGAGCCCTCTATTGTCCATAGAGGCCCCTGTTTCGCCTCAGACTTCCCTCTTGCCCCACAGACCTCCTTATCACCCCCATTCACTCCTTCTCACTTTTGAGAAGTGAGTCCACTTGTTCTGTGGACACCATGGTCTCCCCTTCTCACTTTTGTTGACCCCTGTCTCACCCCAGGAGCCTCACATATTACTGCACAGGCCGCCACCTGCCCCTGTACACCACCCCCACCTCATCTGCATGAGTGGACCCCTCCAGTCTCGCCCCTGGTCCCCTCTCTCCCCTCTCCAGCCCTGCAACCAGCTCGGCTCTTACTCCTATACTTAGGGCTCGCAGGCCTCCCCGCGCTCCCATTCAGCCCTACAGGTGCCCTGCTCCTACTCTGGGTGCTCTCGGAAGGAGGCGGCCGGGTCCGAGGCCATGCCGACCAGGGCCACCAGCGCCAACAGCGCGGAGCCATGCCTGGAAAGAGCAACTAGACAGCGGACCCGACCCCGCCCTGATCTCCCGCGCCGGCTCCGGCCCCGCCCTCGTCCTTCTTGTGACCCCGCCCACAACCGCGGCCCCGCCCCAAATCCCGCCTCCCACGCTCCAGGAAAGCACAGCGTGGCGGCTCCACCCCCACACACGAAAGAATCCCATCGCCCTAATGAAAAGCCCGCCCCCCCCGGTGCACCCCCTTCCGCTGAGGGCCCGCCCCCCAGGACTTCCGGGCCGCACAGATCTGGGGGGTCTGCTCCTGTGTGGAGAACTGCTGGCGGAAGCCTAGGGCAGGGGGGACCGGGGAGGAAGGTCAGTTCAAGACCCCCTCCCCGGGACTTCCCTGGTGGTACAATGGTTAAGAATCCGCCTGCCACTGCAGGGGACACGGGTTCGAGCCCTGGTCTGGGAAGATCCCACATGCTGCAGAGCAACTAAGCCTGTGCGCCACAACTACTGAGCCTGCGCTCTACAGCCCACGAGCCACAACTACTGATACCCACGGGCCACAGCTACTGAAGCCTGTGCGCCTAGAGCCCGTGCTCCGCAACAAGAGAAGCCCCAGCAATGAGAAGCCCGCGCACCGCAGTGAAGAGTAGCCCCCACTAGCCGCGACTTAGAGAAAGCCTGCACTCAGCAACGAAGACCCAACGCAGCCAAAAATAAATAAAATAAAATAAAATAAAATAAATTTTAAAAATTTAAAAAAAAGACTCCCTCCCCATCCCAAACCCCAACTTCAGTGTCCAACAGAAAACGGGGGTTCCCAGGCTTCACCCTCATCTATGCACTCCTTCTCTTTTTCCTCAAAGCTTTGGCGTTTGCAGGGTCCCTTACTTCATCTGAATTCCCAAAGGCTGTGTCTCCATCCAGAGCCCTCATCTCACCCATGAACTTACTATGCCGCTGAAGATGGCCTACTCGACAATCCCCATCACCCCTGAAGCTTCCTTGCTCAGCACTTCTTAATTTTTCTCACCGGGCTCCCAACCCACCCAGCTAGAATACCACATCCTTCCAACAGACCCCCTATCGCCCCTGTGGATCTCCCCACAAGGCCCCATTTTACCTCTTCTTACCTCTCTCTCCACAGAGCCCTCTATTGTCCATAGAGGCCCCTGTTTCGCCTCAGACTTCCCTCTTGCCCCACAGACCTCCTTATCACCCCCATTCACTCCTTCTCACTTTTGAGAAGTGAGTCCACTTGTTCTGTGGACACCATGGTCTCCCCTTCTCACTTTTGTTGACCCCTGTCTCACCCCAGGAGCCTCACATATTACTGCACAGGCCGCCACCTGCCCCTGTACACCACCCCCACCTCATCTGCATGAGTGGACCCCTCCAGTCTCGCCCCTGGTCCCCTCTCTCCCCTCTCCAGCCCTGCAACCAGCTCGGCTCTTACTCCTATACTTAGGGCTCGCAGGCCTCCCCGCGCTCCCATTCAGCCCTACAGGTGCCCTGCTCCTACTCTGGGTGCTCTCGGAAGGAGGCGGCCGGGTCCGAGGCCATGCCGACCAGGGCCACCAGCGCCAACAGCGCGGAGCCATGCCTGGAAAGAGCAACTAGACAGCGGACCCGACCCCGCCCTGATCTCCCGCGCCGGCTCCGGCCCCGCCCTCGTCCTTCTTGTGACCCCGCCCACAACCGCGGCCCCGCCCCAAATCCCGCCTCCCACGCTCCAGGAAAGCACAGCGTGGCGGCTCCACCCCCACACACGAAAGAATCCCATCGCCCTAATGAAAAGCCCGCCCCCCCCGGTGCACCCCCTTCCGCTGAGGGCCCGCCCCCCAGGACTTCCGGGCCGTATGTGACTCAATAAATTGCTCCGTAATCTTTACCCTCCCTCCAATTATCTGGAGCCTAGAGTTGGAGAAGAGCAAGTCCCCATTGCTGTTTCAATCCCGCCTGAAAGAAGGAACCAATTAGAAAGGAGCTTACTTTACTTACCCCACCCCCGGAAGCTGTCGTCGCTTGCTGATGACGCGACGCCTTTCCCATTTGATGGCGTACCCCGGCTCGTTTCCATCTCAGCCAATCACAAGCCAGGTTCAAGAGCGCCTCCCCGCCCATTGGGTAATAACCACAGAGTCCGGAAGTCTGGAAAAAGGGTCTCCAGGCAGGACTTCGGGCATTACTTTCTCCGGCGCCGGGCGTTATACAGGTTTGACCCCGATAAGATGCTGTCCAGGTTGGGCCAGGGAGAATTTTTTTTTTTTTCCTTTTTTAACCGTACGCGGGCCTCTCACTGTCGCGGCCTCTCCCGTTGCGGAGCACAGGCTCCGGACGCGCAGGCCCAGCGGCCATGGCTCATGGGCCCAGCCGCTCCGCGGCATGTGGGATCCTCCCGGACCGAGGCACGAACCCGTGTCCCCTGCATCGGCAGGCGGACTCCCAACCACTGCGCCACCAGGGAAGTCCGGGCCAGGGAGAATTTTAAACCTTGGCGATCTTGTTGCTTAATCATCCTCCCCTTTACATAAGTGAGGGAACAGAGAGGAGCGTCTTGCCCTCTTGTACCAAGGGCAGAGCCAGATCTCCCACCCTTGTCCAGCAGGCTGGAATAGGGTGAGGCGAATGAGGCAATGGCCTGGAGTGCAAAATTTAAGGGGGCGCCAAAAACCTCAGTAATCAAAGTAGTAATCTTGTAATGCAATGTTTCAGAAAATCAAAATTAAGGCAAAAAAATCCACAAGAAACAAGATGTATTTTTTAATTTCATTTCATTTATTTTTTATACAGCAGGTTCTTATTAGTTATTTATTTTATACATATCAGTGTATATATGTCAATCCCAATCTCCCAATTCATCCCACCACCACCACTATCCCCCGCCTCCCCGACTTTCCCCCCTTGGTGTCCATACGTTTGTTCTCCACATCTGTGTCTCTATTTCTGCCTCGCAAACTGGTTCATCTGCACCATTTTTCTAGATTCCACATACATGCGTTAATATACAATATTTGTTTTTCTCTTTCTGACTTACTTCACTCTGTATGACAGTGTCTAGGTCCATCCACGACTCTACAAATGACCCAATTTTGTTCCTTTTTATGGCTGAGTAATATTCCATTGTATATATATATCACACCTTTATCCATTCGTCTTTCAGTGGGCATTTAGGTTGCTTCCGTCACCTGGCTATTGTAAATAGTGCTGCAGTGAACGTTGGGGTGCATGTGTCTTTTTGAATTATGGTTTTCTCTGGGTATATGCCCAGTAGTGGGATTGCTGGATCATAACAAGATGTATTTTTAAATGACAGGTCCGTAGTCACATCTGACCCAGTGATCCTGATGCTGCCTCCCCCACCCTTCCCCCAAGGGCCTTCTTGTGAAGCATATCCTTGGAGAAGCCTTTCCTGACCCATCCTCTCCCAAGCTGGGTTAGGGCCCCTTTTTGTCCCTGCAGCACTCCAGCCCATCATTACCTATTACACTGCTTTATCATTCTTTTTTTTTTTAATAAATTTTTTAAATTTTAATTATTTATTTATTTTTGGCTGTGTTGGGTCTTCGTTGCTGCACGTGGGCTTTCTCTAGTTGTGGCAAGCGGGGGCTACTATTCGTTGCGGTGCACGGGCTTCTCATTGCAGTGGCTTCTCTTGTTGCGGTGCACGGGCTCTAGGCACGTGGGCTTCAGTAGTTGTGGCTCGCAGGCTCAGAAGTTGTGGCTCGCGGGCTCTAGAGCTCAGACTCAGTAGTTGTGGCACACGGGCTTAGTTGCTCCGCGGCATGTGGGATCTTCCTGGATCAGGGCTCGAACCCGTCTCCCCTTCATTGGAAGGCGGATTCTTAACCACTGCGCCACCAGGGAAGTCCCTATCATTCTTAAATTATTTTTTTTATTGAAGTTGTCGACTAAAAGAAAAATGCACAATGTACACATCGTAAGTTCAGTTTTATTCCGGGACCTTACTGAGGACTGTAGCCCAGGAGACAGCCTCTCAGATTACTCTGAGAAACTGCTCCAAAGAGGTAAGGGAGGAGCCAGGGTATATATGAACTTTTTTTGCTGGGAAAAACGTGTAGTCAAGCAAAAAAAGAGTATTGCTAATCACAAAGAACAGACATCTCGAGTTAATGCTTTCACTGCTTTTCCATGTCAGATGCAAGAATATGGGGTCACTGAAATTTTTCCTTAGATATATAAATGAACTATCTAGGGGCCAGTATATCCAAAGCACAGAATGCTTCCTGTTTTTCCCCATCCTGAATTCCCCTTTGGGATCATTGCCAGTGGGTGACTGCAGTAGCTAATGGCTTGATTCTTGTAGAACTGGAATGGCAGGCAATATTTTTTTCTTTACAAAGTACAATGAACAGAAAAGTGCACAAACCATAAGTGTACTATTTGATGAGTCACCACGAAATATAAGCATGTAACCACCACTCAGATCAAGTAGAACATGGCCAGCACCCCAGGAGTTCCTTGTGCCCCTTCTAGTCATTTCCCCTCCCTGGTACTCAGAGGTAAATGCTGCTCTGATTTCTAATAAGTCATTGTGTTTTGTGCTCATCCCACTAGACCGGGAGTAGGCGAACTACTGTTTGCAGCCCAAATCCTGCCCACCACCTGTTTTTGTATAACCCACAAGTTCATGGCTGTTACATTCTTAAATAGTTTTTCTAAAACTGTAAAGAATAATGTTCTGTGACATGTGAAAACTACGTAAAAAAAAAAAAAATTCTTTTAAGGACCTCCCTGGCGGTCCAGTGGTTAGGACTCAGCACTTTCACTGCCGGGGCCCAGGTTCGATCCTTGGTTGGGGAACTAAGATCCTGCAAGCCTTGCGGCATGGCCAAAACAACAACAACAATGACAAAAATATATATATATATATATGAACACAGTGATGCTTATTTCTTTACATATTGTCTCTGGCTGTTTTTGCACTTTGATGGCACAGTTGAGTAGTTGTGACAGAGACCATATCATCTACAAAGCCCAAAATATTTACCATTTTGCCTTTTAGTGAAAAAGTTTGTCAATTCCTGCACTAGACGGTAAGCTCCAGGAGATTGGGGCCCAATCGCATTTACTCTTTTATCCCCAGAGCTTTGCACAGTGCCTGGCACATAATGGATGTTTATAAAGAGTTTGTCTTAATGATCCATTTATTAAGACGGGAGGAAGAGAAGGAGATTCAGGATCTGACACCCCAGCAAGCCCTATAGGGCTCCCTACCCAGAGGTAGTATGTCTGGTGGTTAAGAGCAGGAATTCTGGAGTTGGACACACCAGGTTTGAATCTTTCTTCTTTCACTTACTAGCTATATGGCATTGATAAGTTTAATCTCTTTAAGGCTTTTCTTCACAATATGTAACGTGAGGGGAAAATAGTACCAATTTCTTGTAAAGATTAGACAGCATAGGGAAAAATGTGCTGTAAGTTCTGAATTGATGTTAGCTATCATCATCATTGTAAACATTATCACCTCCGATACACCTCTGTTAATTAGACCATAGGTCTCTGCAGAGACCTAGAAGGGCTTCATTCACTCCTGTCATCTCCCCTCATTTCTCAAGCCCCACGCAATCCCAGCCACAATCCCAGCGTAACAGAAAATCAAACTTCAAAGTGATGGAGTGTTCTTGGGTGCTTATTGTACAGCCAAGTCTGGTACCAGGGCCTCCAGCTGCAGCGCATTCCCCACTCAGGCCCAGATCAATAACAATGAGTCACTGATTGTATTAGGATGGTTTTATTTTTATTTTTTTTATAAATTTATTTATTTAGTTTTTGGCTGCATTGGGTCTTTGCTGCTGCACACAGGTTTTCTCTAGTTAATGAGAGCTGAGGCTACTCTTTGTTGCGGTGCACAGGCTTCTCATTGCGGTGGCTTCTCTTGTTGCACAGCACAAGCTCTAGGCGCGCGGGCTTCAGTAGTTGTGGCTCATGGGCTCTAGAGCGCAGGCTTAGTCATTGTGGCTCATGGGCTTAGTTGCTCAGTGGCATGTGGGATCTTCCTGGACCAGGACTCGAACCCGTGTCCCCTGCGTTGGCAGGCAGATTCTTAACCACTGTGCCACCAGGGAAGCGCTAGGATGGTTTTAATCATTAGCCAGGACTGTGCAATGGGGCCTTTTCTGATGTTGCATTTTTCATGTGGAGAATAAGCAGTTTGAGTAATCGCTTATTGAGTAATTCCCAGGCCTTAAGGCCACGTCTGAGTCGCTAATGCATTTCAAAAGAGCAGCGATAACAGAGCAAAGCAGTAGGCGGGGGAGGCTGCCAAGCCTGCCTTGTTCCAAGAGGGCTGCTTGGATCCAAACCTCTGCTCTATCAGTCAGCCTCCCAGCAGGTAACAGACAGCGTGCTCAGAGGGGCTGACTGAAGAGAGTTTAATGAAGGAACTCTGTGCAGAGGTGTAGCAGGATGCAGGATGTGGTGAAGTCCCTCCAGGGCTAGCAATAGCTGGAAGTCACTACCACCCCAGGCCCGGAAGGAGCAAAAGGAGGGGCTGTTTCAGAAGTAGTGAGAGCTGTAGCTGTAGGAGAGGGCGCCGGACAGGAGGTGTGGGCTTCGGGACAGGAGCGCAGGGTGGAGAAGGTAATGGCTCTGGACAGGCAAGTGGCAGCTGCCCAGCAGAGCCACCTAAGGCCACACCAGAGATGGCTTCCCTAACAGGACCCGACTTAGAGAATGCCTTCACCTGCCCTCTGACCCCTCAGCCCATCCCATTTGCTGGCATTTAGCATCCCCATCTTCAGGGTCACCAAACCCTTCACCTCGTCCAAGGACTTCACTGAAAAACAAGGCAATTGTGTGCTCAGAATAGACTTGCATGTCCTCGACCAGAGATTTTTGCCCCCCAGGGGACATTTGGCAGTGTCTGCAGACATTTTTGATGGTCACAACTTGGGTTCCTGGAACCTAGTGGATAGAAGCTGGGGATGCTGCTAAACACCCTACAATGCACAGGACAGGCCCCCAGCGACAAAGCACTATCTGGCCAAAGTGTCATGGTGCTGAGGTGAGAAACCGTGTTTTAAACTAACTGCTCTGTCCTCCTGTCACAGGCTGGGCCTCCCTCTCTGTTCCTGCATCAGCCTCTAGCCGGGCCCTTCCTCCTACCCTCTAATCCAGCCTCCAGCCAGGGCAGCTCCCATCCCTCTCTCAAATCAAGGCTGCCCGCTTTGGGCTGAATCTCAGTGGCGTACCCAGTACCTGGACCTCTTCCTGCGGCTGGCACCAGTAGTTCTCTTATGTTCCCACCTCGCTCACAGGCTGCAGACCATCCCTTCACAGCCTAGCCGAGCCCTGGACGCCCAGCTCGTGTCTGCACCCCCCACGCGTCCTCCTTCCCCCGCTTCCTCTCCTCTCTAAGGCCATCTGACCTCCAGCCCCTGTTCCCGGAACCCCTCTCCAGCCTCAGCGACCCTCCCAGTAATTTACTCTCTCTTCCAATTGAGAATTCTTCCACCCCTTGTAAACACCATGGAGCAAAGCAGACTTCTAGAGCTAGCCAAGGTCACGCTCAAAGCTATTTATACCCTTTCTCCCCTTATTTCGCCTGGAGTGCCCTCCCCACAAAACACACACTTTGATCTCACAGATGCTGTGGGTCTTGGGAGCTGCTGAGCCAGTGTCTTGCACAGGTTTCCAGGCTGAAAGCTTAGGAGGGTCTCTGCCAAAGGTAACCTCTCCTTGTGGTCCCTGGGAGAGGGCTCCATAGGGGCCAGAACCTCAAGGGCACAGGAAGAAGCAGTGGCCAACCAAGTGTGGGGCTCCCTGGCACCAGGGAGCGGACCCCTCTCTCTCGGTGTCCCCTCCTGCCCCCTCCATAGGGCCCCCCCTTACCCCTGTCCTATATCCCTACCAAGGCTCAGAGCGAGCAGGGGAGGAATCCAGCTGTTCAGTCCTGAGGTGAAGTTGGCTGAGGTCCATACTGACCGGAATGCCCAGCCACCTTTATTCCTTTCCTCCAGATATTCCTCAAAACCCGGAAAAGCAAGCAGGGCAGGTGACCCCCAGGCCCCCCAGCATGAGCTCCCCGTCTCACTGCCCACCCCGCGCCTCCACACTCTAGGCAACCGAGCCACACCCATTGGGCAAGGGCCCGCGCCCTCCCAGCCCCAGGGGTGGCCAGGAGAAGCAGGAGAGCCGGGGGTGGGCCCGGAAGGGAGAGCGGGGTGACTGCGCCGGCCCGCCCCTCACTGCAGCCCCACCAGCTCTGTGATGGGAGGGGTCTGCACCATGAGCTCCTCGTAGTGGTGGAGAAACAGCCGGAAGCGAGCCAGATAAGAGTCCTCGTTGTACGGCAGCTGCTTCTCACGGAGGAACTGGGACACCACGGGCTTCACCTGCCAGAAGGTGGGCAGGAGGAGGGGCCTCTGAGCCGGGGCTGTGGGCAGGCCCATCCCCACTAGGACCCTTCCTCTGCCCAGCCCCCTGCTCCTGTCTGCTTTGTCCCATGATGCTCTGGAGGAGCTGAGGGGCTTGGAGAATTCCCGCCTCCCATTTCCAGCAGGCAAGGGAAAGGGAGGGCTTCTCCCCAGCACCCTTCTCTGGAGCTCCCGAATCTGTGACAGTCCTCCTTTGCATAGGGGGATAAACCACAGCTCCTTTTCACCGAGCACCTACGGTGGGCCCAACATTTCAGATCCATTTCTTCATTTCATCCTCAAAGCCTGTCAACGTAAGCACTACTTAGTCCCGTTTTACAGATGAGGAAGCCGAGGCTCAGAGACATTCAGTTAACTTGCCCAGAGCCACACGGCTAGTAAGAAAACCAGGTGTCTCTGATCAGAAACCCACACTGCTGCCTGTACCCTGGACTGACCTTCCTGGGAACCTCTGACCAGGCCAGTTGGTTGGAGAACCCCGAAGGTGACTCCCCCTCCACCCTGAGACAGTTTCTTCATCCAAGCCCCCCCAGCCCGACCCTCATCTACCTTCAGGCACATGTTGTCGGAGAGCCTAGGGAAGAGGTGGTGCTCCACATGGCAGCTGATGAGGGAGTGGCCGAACGCCCAGTCCAGCACGGGCAGCCGGGGCAGGTTAAGCACCCCCAGGCTCATCATGTGAATCCGTTGGGGCTTCTTGTCCCGGGAGAACATGGGCAGCCCGATGTGCTGTGACAGACACAAGGGTCATGCCCTGGGGCTGGGCCGGGCAGCCCTGTGCCTCCCCACCCCGCCTCAGGCATCCTCAGCTAGCACCCAGGGACCCGTGGGTTCTGCCGCCTTCCTCACCTCCCACTCCAGCAGGACCCAGTAGAGGCGTGAGGAACCAGCTCATGCCACCCAGCTCCGATGCGACCCTGTCTGTGCCCCTCGCTGAGTCTCGCCCGTCTCCGGGTCCCTCTCCCTATCTGTGTAATGAAGGGCTTGGCCTGGGTGCCTCTCTGATCTCGTGGTCCTCTAAGCCCACGACTGCCCACCGCCGTCCCTCATGTCCCTGTGCCTGCATCCCAAAGAGACCCTTCTCTGCTTTTTTTCACCAGTCAAAATCCTGCTCATGGTTCAAGATCAAGTTTGCGCATGCTTGTGTATTTTTTCATTCAACAAGGATGTACAGGGCTTCCCTGGTGGCGCAGTGGTTAAGAATCCACCTGCCAATGCAGGGGACACGGGTTTGAGCCCTGGTCCGGGGTGATCCCACATGCTGCGGAGCAACTAAGCCCGTGAGCCACAACTACTGAGCCCGCGTGCCTAGAGCCCGTGCTCCGTAACAAGAGAAGCCACCACAATGAGAAGCCCGCGCACCACAACAAAGAGTAGGCCCCGCTCGCCGCAACTAGAGAAAGCCCGCGCGCAGCAACGAGGACCCAACACAGCCATAAATAAATAAATGTATTAAAAAAAACAAAGATGTATAAAAACACCTGCTCTGCCAGGCACTGCCCTCGGTCTAGAGGATGCGGAAGTGAACGGGAGCTTCTGCTCTAGCAGGACAAGCACACAACCATGGAATTATGTCATGGGATTCAGTCATTAATGGCAGTGTGGTAAGTGCCGGGATGGTCATATGCAGGATGCTCTAACCCGGGGTCTTCACTTGTCTCGGGAGCAGGGAGGTGACCATCCCTGGAAATGACCCAGAACTGAGTGCTGAGCTGCTAGCCTCCCATGAAGACCTTCGTCTCCAGCTCCTGCATCCGCCTGCCTTGACACGTGTGTGCTGGGACCTCTGCGATGGCCCTCGGGCTTATCACAGTAAGAGCCCTGGAGGTAGGAGCTGGGGTCCTATTCACTTGTGTCCCCACGGAGCTTAGTCTCGTAACCTACACATAGAAGCTTCTTAATAAATCTCTGATCTGTGTGTGAATGGCAGCCAGTGTTGAAGAGAAGCTCCTTACCTGGAACCAAAACTCTCTGTGATGACCCACAGAGAGAAAGGAAGAGAGAGGGTGGGCGGAGGAGGTGGAGGGATGCTTCCTCAGGTGGCCTCTCTCTCCCCCCGGAACCTAGAGTCCAGCCTGCGCCAGGCACCCTGGAGAGTGATCCCTGTAGCCCCCCAGCACTCAGGGTGGGGGAGGCCTCACCTGGAAGATGTTGACATGAAGGTAAGGGTGGGCCAGCAGGGATCTGGTGATGAGCATGCAGACCAGGGCTGAGCTGGGGCTCTGGAAGCCAGACACATTCAGCAGCAGCCAGTAGTGAGAATAAAGGCCCAGGGAAATCAGGCCAAGCGTCCGCAGGGCTGTCCCGAGCTCCACCTCTCTCAGCCGTTCTGCCAGAAGGGGCAAGAGATAGACGAAGGGGTCGGCGAGGTTCCGATCCAACATGAGTTGGCTCCCTGGTGGCTCAATAGTGCAAACTAGGGTGACCTAGGTGTTCAGTTCATCCATACACAGCCCTGAAAAGTAGGTTTGCCCATTTTCTTTTCTTTTCTTTTTTTTTTGGCCGCGCGGCTTGCAGGATCTTAGTTCCCTGACCAGGGATCAAACTCGGGCCCCAGCAGTGAAAGCACCGAGTCCTAGCCACTGGGCCTCCAGGGAATTCCCTTTTGTATTTTGGGGGTTTTTTTGGTTCTCACCCATTTAATGGATGAGAAAATGGAGCATTAAGCAACCTGACCAAGGTCAGTCTGATAGTAACTGGTGGCCTGGGACTTGAGCTCAGGTCTGGCTCTCCCCTCGCCCCTGCTCTTCCCACCGTATATTGCTCCTGTGATACTAAAAATTATAACATGCAATAGAGTGTGAGGCATTTAGAAAGCATTTTGACATCTATGACCTCATTATGCTTTCACACCTTCCTTTTTTTTTTTTTTAGAAAAAAACGTATTTAATAAACAATAACACAAGTGAATGTTTATAACATGATCAGGGATTATTAAATAGACAACAAGATGATGGTAAATGAGGCTTGTATGTCAAATATAAAGAGTAAACCTTATTCATTTATTTATTTAGGCATCTGACGCCTTCCCACGCAACTTCCTAGTCTTCTCAGATAGCCACAGAGTTTTTAAAATTTTTATTTTATTTTACTGTGGTAAGAACACTTAACATGAGATTTATCCACATAGGTTTTAAAGTGTGCGGTACAGTACTATTGTCTCTGGGCACAGTGTTATATAGCAAATCTCTAGAATTTATTCATTTTGCAAAACTGAAACGTCACGCTCACTGAACAGGGACTCTCCATTTTCCCCTCCCCTCAGCCCCTGGTGCCACCATTCTGTTCTTTGCTTCAATGAGTTTGACTACTTTAGATCCCTCATATAATAAGTGGAATTGTTTCACACCCTCTTTGAGGAGCAGATAAGAACCTGAGGTTCAGAGAGGTTAAGTTACCTGCCTGTGGTCACCAGCCAGTAAGTGGCAGAGCCAGACTTGGCCCCAGGACCAAGGTTCTTTCCACCCTGCCTGGCTGTCTCAGAAAGTTTCCATCTGGTCTTAACTCAGGGCTTCTTACTTCTTCCATGAAGCCAGGAGAGGAAGGAAGGAAAGGGGGAACCAGGTCTTTGCAGGGCTCAGCCCTGGCATACTCACCGACAGCCACCAGTGGGGTTATGATGGGGATCAAGAGAGGAGCGAGAAACATGTAGACGTAGCGGTTGAGGCAAGGCAGCCTCCACGTGCTTGAGTCCCCCAGGCCCAGCACGTTGGTGTAGCCATGGTGCATCTTGACGTGTCCGTACTTGGCGTGCTCTGCAGTGAAGGACGTGCATACCTAGAGGAGGGAGCCAGAAAGGGCGCTGGGGTCTGTATCAGGCACAGGCGAGCAAAGCAGGATCTTCGGAGCCTTGAAAACACCCTCCCTTCCCAGACCACACATTTCCAGGGCCTTCCTGCCTTCCACCCACAGCTCGTCAGCCTTGAACATCAACTCTCAGGGATCCACGACCACAGAGTGGCAGCCAGTCAAAGCAACTGCGTCCACTTGGCGTGCAAAGCAGTTGGCGTGCACAGCCCCCCGTGATTGCAGCCTGCAAGCCTGAGGATTGGACACACTGCAGGTAAACCTCCTGGCATGTGTTGCCAATTATTTTGTGAGTGTTTATCTTTGAAATATCTGTACCTTCATAACACTGCTTTGCATTCTGGGCCCACAGCAGTGGGGGCAGGGGTGCAGGAGTGGTCTGGGGGCGAAGAAAGGCCATCTTCTGAACTGTCCATGAGGGTGCCCCAGTGGGGACCAAGAGTTCACTTCTTCCTAGGGGTGACTCTTCTCTGGCGTGACCCCCTGTAGGATTCTCTGAAGCTGGCAGTGAGCAGCAGCAGCTCTGACTCCAAGGGCAGTCATTCTGAATGTAAAAGAGGCGCTGAGGTGTTTCTTATGCAAATATATGCAAATGAACATGCAGGCGTCAGCCTCTTCCAATATTTTATCCAAGCCAGAAGATGTTGCTAATTTTATTGAAGATGCTGCCTGCCTGTTTCCAGGAGGACGTGAAGGGTTTCCCAGTGCCAGTCACTGTGAGCCCCATACAGACAGCAGAACACACTCAGTTGAGTGTTCAGCATTCTGCACAGTACACATGTAACTCATTAATCTTAAGCCTGGCAGGGCGGAGGAGGGTTATTATTATTATTATTATTATTATTATTATTATTATTATCATCATCAGTGCTGTTGTTATTCACAGCTGACAGAAGCAGAAACTGAGATAGAGGCCACGTGCCCACCCCAGCTCACTCAGCTAAGTAGGTGGCAGAAGTGGGATTTGAACCCTGGTTCCATCCAAGATAAGGCATAAAACCCCTGGGATGAGTCACTGCAACAGAGCATGAACCCAGGCTTGGAGTCCAGGCAGCAGAGACAAAACCGCGAGAAGACAGATAAGGAACGACACTGTCTTCCCACTGTCTGCAGAGACTCTCTCCCTTGGAACGAAATGAAGCTGAAAAGTAGGATATGATGTCACAACGGCAGTTTCACAACAGACAGGGGAAGATAGTCAAACCAACACTGTACGGGCCCCTCTCAAGGCAGAGGATGTGAAGGTAAATGCTGATTCAGCGACAGTGTGCCTGTGGAGTTCACAAAAACAGGAGAGGTGCTTTGCTCTCAGATGATGTAACCCACAGAGGGGTGGGTTTGCTCTCTGGTTTCGTAACCTTGCAAAGGGACAGAACCTGGGGGAGGCTGCAGAAGGTGGGCAGGTAGCCTGTCAATTAAAGTGATGTCTCTTCCAGGCCTGCTGGTCTGGAAGGACCTGCTGCTCAAGAGGGCCAGGCAGTTGGTTCAACAAAGGGGCCTCCGCCGGGGTCTGCCAGGACCTCCTCAGAGGCCAGCCTGCCTCTGTCCAAGGCCTGCAAGTGTGTTTTGAATCTCACGGTTCTGTAACCAGAAGAAGCGACTGTTTTTAACTGCTCCTTCCTCGTACTTCTGCTCTGAGGGCCGATCCTGTCTGCATTGCTTCTTTCTTCAAGAAACGTCAGCTGAATGCAGCGATCTGCTCTTCCCTCTGGCCCAAGCTCCACATCTCCTCGCTGACCGCACTTTGAGTGGCAAGGCCAGAAACGACCCGGGGCCTGAACTCTACCAAGCCTGGTAAGAACTTGACCCTCAGGGGCCTGGTAGGGCCAGGTGCTCAGCCACGTGCCCAGACCTGGGAATGGGGGGCCGGGGCGGGGATGAGCCACCTGTGTGGTCTGATGTAACACATGATTTGTGACCCAGCACAGGCTTCCAGAGTCTGTGTGCTTTGCCTTTTTATATAACTAAGAAGAGACTTGAGGCTGTTTCTATAAGACTGGAATTCTCCCTCCCATCTAGATGTTCTTTCCAGAAGAAGGAACGCGGAGAGATTGGACGTGGACTGCGGTGTGTCTCACTTGCACCCATCAAGGGGCGGGAGGATGTAGCCACGTGCCACAGACGATCCCGCCATACAGGATTATTTACAGGTCTCACCCAAGAGGATTTCCCATCCAGACCCAGAGAAAGTTCCAGAAGCTTCTTGATATCGCTACCCTCTGTACCCTCAGGAAGACTTAAGAGCCTAGACCTCTTAGCCGCACTCAGGCTCTGCAAGTGGCCAGAGTGTGTGCGGGGCGGATGTCAGTATAATTCCTCTGGACATCCCCTCTCAGCTAAAATCAGAGGCCCCAGGTCTCTCATTCACTCATTTAGTTGTTTTTTCACTTAAGCATCCTCAGACCTCTGCCAGCAGCCAAAGGTAGTTATCTAATGTTCTCCTCTTTTATTTTTTACACAAACAATACTTTGCAGGATTAAAAAACATCATTATAAGATTATGACACCAAGCTGGGTTTCAAATAGGTCACTTTACTGGATTGGAAGGGGAGGGGCAGGACGAGGCAAGTGCCGGGCCAGAGGCTGTAGGTGTGGCCACTGGGGGAGGTGAGGAGTGGGCGGAGGAGGAGGCATCAACAGAAGGGCCAAGTTTGCAGCTCGAGGCCCGGCGCAGGGTGGGGTCACTCCAGAGGTGGGGCAGGAGAAGAGGGCCACAGGCATATGGACCAGCTGAGAAAGAGGGGCTGGGGGTCGTCGCAGCGGCAGCATCCCTCAGGCAGGAGGGACTCCAGGCTGGAGTCTGCCCAGCTTCCATTCCTCCCTCCAGACCTTCTCTCACTGATCCCAGGGCTGAGCAACCCCTTCACACTGGCTTCAGAGTTTGCGGGCTGGTGGGGTGCTTCTGAGGCTCCACAAGCCTCAGCAATTGGTTTGTCAGATAAAGTATAGGGCACCCACATAAATCAGAATCTCAGATAAACAACCAATCATTTTTTATAGACATATATCCCAAACACTGCCTGCATTTCTTGTTTATCTGAAGACTAAAGTTCACTGGGCATCCTGGATTTTTTTTTTTTTTCTTTTTTGACTGTTGGGTCTTCATGGCTGTGCACGGGCTTTCTGTAGTTGTGGCAAATGGGGGCTACTCTTTGTTGAGGTGCACGGGTTTCTCATTGTGGTGGCTTCTCTTTGTTGCACAGCATGGGCTCTAGGCGCACAGGCTTCAGTAGTCGTGGCACGCGGGCTCAGTAGTTGTGGCTCACGGGCTCAGTAGTTGTGGCTCGCGGGCTCTAGAGCACAGACTCAGTAGTTGTGGCACATGGGCTTAGCTGCTCCACAGCATGTGGGATCTTCCCGGACCAGGGCTCTAACCCATGGTCCCCTGCATTGGCAAGCGGATTCTTAACCACTGTGCCACCCGCATTCTGGATTTTTATTTGCTATGTCTGGCAGCCCTACTCAGTGAGAACACAAGTCCCTGAGCGTGAGTCCTCGGGTACCATGCGGGCTCTCCCGCTAACAGTGATGTGTTAGCACCTTTGGATAACAGAGGGGCCGCAGTGAGGGCGGAAGCCAGAGGAGCCTGGAGTGCCTCATCCTGCTGGGAGCGGCCTGGATGTGGTCGGGGCTGATCCTATCAAGCGGCTCTCATGAAATTCTTTCCCTTTTCAGGCCTCGTCCCTAGAAACTCCCAGCTCCTCTGCTTGGCCCATGGGCCTCCTTTTCCCCTTTTCTCCAGAGTCCCCATGAGATTCTAGTGACTCCAGGTTTCTGTGGGTCCCTCATGCACTATGCTCTTCCCAGATCCATGCCTTTATCTGTACCTCTGCTCAGCCTGCAGCCACCTTCCCGCTTCTGGGCCTGGGATCAGGAGCCCTGTCCTGGCAGTGTCTCCTCTGGACACTCTCACCAGGGGTTCTAGGCACTTTTGACATTTGGGACCAACACTGTCTCAGCCCCCAAAGCTCCGCAGCAAACCCAGCCTCCCTCCAATCTCCCCTCCCAACTGGGCAGCCACTGGGCCCCTGGGAGCAGCCCCACCCTTTTCTCTCCAAGCCCCTCCCCCTAGGGACACTCCTCAGACTAAGTGCTGCCACCCTCAGACGACCACCTGATCTGCTCCTGGGTCCTCGGCCTCTGGGGGCCATGGGCAAGCCCACCCAGAGGCAGGCTTTTAGAGACCCTCAGGAATTGGAATCACCACAAGAACCCTTAAAAGTACATTTTGCAAATCTGCACATGTGATAAAATGGCACAAGCACACACACACACACACACCAATGTCAACGTCCTGGGTTTGCTGCTGAATGATTTACATAAATGTAACTATTGGGGGAAACTGGGTGAAGGATCCACCAGACCTCTGTCCTCTCTGATCTATTTTTGCAATGTCCTATGACTCTATAATTTTTTCAAAAATAAAAAGGTTTTATTTTTTTTAAGTATATTTTGTACTGCAGATCTGAGTTTGCCTGCTAAATAATTCTTTTAATTAAAAAACTTTAAAACCACAGCGGTGCAAACTCAGATTTTACCGCCCCTCAGGGGGCGGGAGGGGCCAAACAGAAGATTAGAGGCGCCCTGAATTCGCGGCAAGAGAGCATTCAAGCATCATGACCAGGCTGGGGGTTCTCTGCTTTGTTTCCACCACCACCACACGGGACTGGAACGAAGGTGACGGCATTTCCCTGGGTGACACCCCTCCCCCAGGGCAAAGCTGGCCTGTGCTCTCTGTGGACCATCTGTGACTCCACCCCCATAGCGCAAAGCCGACTTCAGAAGGAGGGTTTGAAGTTGAGACACCGTGGAGCTTAGTAACTGGTACAGCCTGTTCCCTCCTACTCAGGGGAACATCTTGATAGTGAGTGACTTGCAAGGGAGTCCCTAAAGCCCTCTTGACTGCAGGAGTTAATCTTTCCCAACTAAAAATAGAGTTGTCATATGATCCTGCAATCCCATTCCTGGGC